AATATTCTTGATATTTTGTTGAGAGCCGACAAGAGTAATATGACTGTGGCAATTATATTCAAGTCTCGTTCTCGCGATTAACCAGTAGTACCGTCCTTCGGTACTCGATGTCGCCACAATCTTCAGAGTTTCTTTTTCCCACCCTCTTATGTATCCCTTGCCTTTGTTCTTCATAACGTTTTTTGTGCTCGAAAGAGTCACAACTCAGAGTGTACGAGATTAGAGAAAGATGTCGAAAAGGAAAGCGGACATTGAAGATATGCAGAAGCAGATGAGGAGTTTACGGAAAAAGCTGAAAAAGCTTACGCGGGCAACAACCGAAGAGGTTACGAGACCGCGTACGGCGACCGAGGAGGTTAGGGATCCGCGTGGCGTAACCGCGGATGCCGGAAAAACTCAGGTCGCCTGTAATACTGGAACACACATTAATACAGAGGATAAAGAGAATGGTGAGTAATAAGGAGAGTTAGATCTTTAGCGATGAACCTTCACTAGAGGGGGGACAGATCGCACGGCCAGAAATCTCGCGGCGATGAGCCCTCACTCGAGGGGGGACAGATCGCACTTTTGACATACCGCACGGTCAAAACTTCTCGGCGATGAGCCTTCACTAGAGGAAGGACAAATCGTACGATAAAAATCTCGCGGCGATGAGCCTTCACTCGAGGGAGGACAGATCGCACATTATAGCGAGTCGGCTGCACACCTGTTAACCTCGTTCTTTCGGTTCAGCAGCGGCCACGAGCGAGGAAATAAGCGTCGTGGACGAGGTTGGAAGCGAGGCGAGATCAGATTCCTCCACGTCGGGAGACGGAACAGACACTGAGCAGGAGAGTAAGACCGACGTGGAGAACACCGTGGACAGCGCAGCAGAATCAGCGAGTCTCAGCAATGAAACTCGAGAACGACTGGGCTTAAAAGCAGAGCCAGCACAATCCGACAACATTGTTTTGCATCCGGTATTAACCGCAGAATGGAACACTTGGATTCGCAAGGGCCTGTATGAAGGAGACGAAGAAGACGAAAAGAAGCGCGAGGAAGAGGAGAACAAGTTACGAGAAGAAATCACGAAAAAGTTCCCCAGGAGAGGGGGCTTGCATGCAGAAGCCCCGAAACTAAACCAAGAAATCCTAGCCTATATGTCGAGTACAGCCAAAAGTAGAGATAAGCACTTTGTCTCCGCACAGAACGCCCTAGGCTCAGCAATAATAGCGGTGGCTAAGACCATCTCATTAATTCTGGAACTAGAAGAGGGCGACATTTCAAGCAGGCTTACGCATCTTCTGGGAAATGCAGGCAAGTTGTTGGCAGGTCTACACTACCAACATTCAATTATGCGAAGAGCTTTTATCCTCCCGGGCATTGACGAGAAATATCGGGAGTTGCTCAAAAAGTCAGAGATAACGGGCGACTTATTTGGGGAAGACCTGTTCAAGAAGTTAAAACACACGAAGTCCCTAGACAAGGTGGTAGAAGATCTCGCTCCGCGCCAACACAGCAAGAAGCCCTTAAAGACCACCAACTGGGGAAACAGGAGGAGCCTGCCGACGAGACCCAGGGGCCGCTCGCAGCAGGCGAGGACAGGAGGGCCGCTGAAATCCCTGCGCTTCAAGGACCGCCAGAGGAATTATCAAGGGAACAAGCATGCGCCCGCGAGATCAACACGACCGAACCACCATGCTCGCTAGAAGCGAGATAGGTAGCTGGCCGGTTAAAGTTTTTTATCCACGAATGGGAATCAGTAACGAAAAATAAATTCGTATTAAATTGCGTGCGGGGTTATAAGATCCGATTCTCGGCTCAGCCTTCTCAAACGACATTTCCAACGGCCCCCTTAATGCGAGGGTCTCAGACCTTCGAGGACGTCAGAGAGGCAATTAACAATCTGCTACAATTAGGGGCCATTAGACAATGTGCCCCAGAGGAACCTCAGTTTATATCCTCATACTTTCTAACCCCAAAATCAGATGGGAGTTTTAGATACCGGTGAACGAGGATTCCTCAAAGTATTTAAGATTTATATTTCGAGGTCAATACTTTGAATTCGTGTGCCTGCCCTTCGGCCTTAACGTAGCCCCTCTGATATTTACGAAGGTCATGAGACCAGTTGTAAACCAACTGCGCAAGAAAGGGTTATTGTCAGTAATATACCTCGATGATGTCCTGCTCCTTGCCTCCTCTAGACAGGCATGCGCAAATAATGTAAGAGCGTCAATTGAATTATTAGAATACTTAGGTTTTGTCATAAACTACAATAAAAGTGACCTCGAACCGAGTCAGAGAGTCGACTTCTTAGGTAAATAAAATGGGAGGCGTACAGCACCCTAACTTACATAAAATCGCGAAGGAGATCTGGCAGTGGTGCGAAGCAAGGAATATTTGGATAACAGCTTCGTATATTAAATCCGAAGACAACGTGGAGGCGGATCGCGAATCCCGAGTAAAGAATATAGATACGGAATGGGAGTTAGCGGACTACGCATTCCGTCGAGCGGCGGAAAGGTTCGGACACCCGGAAATCGACCTATTTGCCACACGGAACAACACAAAGTGCAAAAAATTCCTAGCCTGGAGAAATGATCCAGAAGCACTGGCAATCGACGCGTTTACAGTGAACTGGCATTCACAGGGGCTATTTTGGGCGTTCCCGCCGTTTGCCCTTATACTAAAAGTCCTCAAAAAGACTATAGTGGACCAGGCCACCGGGATTGTCATAGTTCCTTATTGGACTAGCCAACCGTGGTTCCCATTATTCATGAGCTTGTTGATTGAAAAGCCATTGATATTTAAGCCTTCACCAAATTTAGTTTTATCCCCTTGTAGGTCCATACAGCATCCGCTAGCAGGGAAGCTGTCCCTGATGGCAGGAAAATTATCCGGGAATCATTCCGAAGAAAAGGGCTGCCCAGCACGTCTCTCGATATCCTCGAAGCGTCATTAGCCGAATCAACACATAAGCAGTACGCGGGACCCCTAAAGCAATGGTGGTCATTCTGTGCTGACCAAGGACTGGACCCGTACCAGCCAAGAGAAACGGACGTAATCCAATTCCTGACGAAAAAATTTGAGGAGGGAGCGGCATACGGATCTCTCAACTCAATGAGAGCAGCGATCTCTCTGATTAGCGAGAACAACATCGGCAAAAGCAGAAATATCTCTAGACTCTTTAAAGGGATATTTATGCTGAGACCGACAAAGCCCAAATATGATCGAATTTGGGACGTGAACATAGCTCTACGAAAAATCGAAGAATGGTACCCCCTGGAGGAACTGACCCTTGAGTGCCTGACTCAGCGTCTCGTGTTACTACTTGCATTGGGCACTGCGCATAGAGCGCAAACTTTAGCATCGATAAAAATATCGAATATCAAGTGTGACACACAAGGTTACGAAATAGAGATACCGGACAGAATTAAAACTTCACGCCCAGGCTCATACCAACCCCTACTAGTCTTGCCAGTCTATCGGGAAAATCCCAAATTGTGCATCGCGTCAACAATTGACGCCTACATTAAGGAAACAGCCCAGTTGAGAGGTAACATAGATGATTTGTTTGTGACAATCAAAAAGCCAATTAGAGCGGCATCCACAGCGACGATAAGCAGATGGATCAAGGCAGCGATGTCTCGCTGCGGTATAGACGAAAAATTCACAGCGCATTCCACAAGACATGCAGCGACTTCGACCGCACTAAGAAAAGGAGTAGACCTGGAAACTATTCGAAAAACAGCCGGCTGGTCGGAAAACTCACAGGTTTTCGCGAAACATTATAATAAAACTATTGCACCATCCAAAGAATCCTTTGTAAAAGCGATTATGCATAGCTAAAGTGCAATAGAAACAATATCCATAGTATTAAGAGGTAAAACAAGTATTAAGCTACTAAGTTAAGTTACCTATTAAGTTAAGAAAAGGTATGACCCCTTGCAAAAATGCGTAACCCTTTTATTTAAAAAAAAAATAATAATAATAATAATATGAATAATAAGAATAATAATAATAATAACTACGAAAATTGCGTAATTCTTAGATTTGTTTTGGTTGATAACGAATTTTACATAAGGATAACAGGCTATTTACAGAAATAAAATATATAATAGCCAAATAAAAATTATTTCTCTAAACCTCTACTGGTTAATCGCGAGAACGAGACTTGAATATAATTGACCGATCAAACGATCTCAGGGAGAGATGTTCGATCGTAATTATATGAAGAGTCTCGTTCGAGCGATTACTCCCACCCAACAAAAAAAAAAAAAAAAGTTATCCCGACCCAAATGCCATAATTTTTATTTTAGAGGTTTCGGAACTCTAAACTATATGAAGAACAAAGGCAAGGGATACATAAGAGGGTGGGAAAAAGAAACTCTGAAGATTGTGGCGACATCGAGTACCGAAGGACGGTACTACTGGTTAATCGCTCGAACGAGACTCTTCATATAATTACGATCGAACATCTCTCCCTGAGATCGTTTGATCGGTCAATTATTAAATTAACGTATCTTGGAAAACTT